TCGCCATATATTGAGTGCTCTCCAATGGTAAAGAAGAAAAAAGGATTAGACCTCATGACCCTTGGCATATTGATCAGTTGCAAGAATTGCTTTTTAAAGATCATTACTGATTTCTTTTCTCTCCGGCATTCTGTTAACATACTCGTTATTGCTCCAAACCAGCAACTTTCAGACATCCTGCTTAAACAGAGGCGCTAACTTGCAGATCATCAGTTAGTCAATTTCACTTATTTAGCAGCAACCGACTGCAAATTCACATCTAAAATCCTACAGAAGCAGTATAAGTGTACTGGATCACTAACATTTAAGGTGCCTTCTGTAACAGAACTTGGGTAGAGATTGGTGCTGTACTAGGATTATTTGCCTCCAGATGAGGTTTTGTTAATGTTCTCCCTGAGGATGAGTGGTTTCTTTATGGTACTACAGTGTCCTGCAACTTTTAGACGCATCCCTTCTCCAACACGTCAATGTCAACTGAATGACTTCATCAGCACAGTAATTTAGCCCTGGAGAGGCCTGATAAGGAGCCATTCATATGATTCAAGTATTTTAGACAAGGGATGGATCTAAAAGTTGCAGGATATTAGCTAATGGGGACTAGATGAGGGCATCGCTTATGCAAGTAAAACCAAAGTATGTTTGATGGATTTGCACACATTTCAACAGCTTGCTCACTTTTTTCTTATTAAAAAACCCCAACAAAACACTCTGCTGTTTTTTCTTCACAATATATTGAATAGATAAACAATATAAGAGGAACATGTAAAAAACACAACAACAACCTTTGTTCTAATTTTGTCATTCAGAGTAAAAGTGGGAATTAAAACAAAGTGGATCAACAGATTCAGTGTTGGCATATGGATTCATGTCCTCGGCTCATGAAGTGTCTCATATGTGCTCTTTTGTCTTTTGTTAGTATACGCACACATGCAGACACACATGGCCACACAGCAAGGCCAGTACTGTCTGCAGCAGCCCAGGGCCCCATTGTCACAATCACTTACCACTGTTTAGGCATCATAGCAGGAGCAGGGCGGGGCAGGGAACTGAAAGGAACTGCTTACCATTTTACCACATGCTGGGTCCTTTGACTGCATCTTGTTTTTTTTTAAGAGATATGACATTGTCTATACCTTCTCAGCTGTGCCTAAGTATAATTGGGTTAGGGTTCACAGCTGAATAACTCAGCTTATTGACCACAAGGTCATGGCTCTTGCCTTCAGAGTGAAAATTAACGTATTGTCTTTCACATCAGTTGCACAGCTGTTTGACTGTTGTAAGAGATAAACATGAGCACCTGTTTTCTAGCAAGATTTTATCGGCAACAAACTCCAATGTCTGTTAAATATGATTTTTAAACCAAAACTTCAAAAAGTACAACGCTATAAAATGTTTCCTATCACTCCAATTTCTTTCACGTTCTGTCACATAGGAACCACAAACTTTAAAAAACCATTTGTGCATTATTATAGGGACTGTTTTTTAGGTAAAAGGTTTTTATAGTACTAACCCAAGGATTGCAGTGTAGATTTTTATTTTTTATATTTAACAACTTTTTGCCTCAAAATACAGAAAATTTTGCCCATTTAACTTTGTAAAATAGCTCAAACTCAGGAGAAATTGATGGGAAACATGTGCAAAAATATATTAATTTTAAGTCTTACCTAATATTCTCACTTGCATTTAGGGCTTGACTTTGACTGGACCATTCTAAGAGGCAAATATGATAAGATTTCTTTCCTGGAATTCTCCTGGCGCTGGCTGTATTTTTTCAGGGTTATTATCCTACACCAGCCTTGTCTTTTGTAGCTGGTTTCGTTCAAGGATAGCCCTGTATTTAACTTCATTATTTGTCTTCTCATCAACCCTAACCTCACTGAAGAAAACTATCCTGACAGCATTTATTATTATTTTTTTTTTGGGCCAAAAAAGTTTACTTAGCTGATTATTGTAGGAAGGTGACAAAATAATACAATGATCACTGGAAATAGACATTCAGAGTATCCCATTATTAGTTAATTATTCACAGTAAATGACATCTGCATGCTGTAAAGTCAGTTAGTCAGTGTTGATGTCACCACCTGTTTGCTGTCAAACACACTCTTATACTGAGAGAAGTTATATGCTTGATGCATGTGGACACTGGTGGGAGACTATATATACTGTACACACAACACATAACCCCCAGGAAATGTTAATTCGGCTGTGTGACTCCATGCCTGATAGCATCAGTTTTACAGTCTAAAGCAAACAAACTTAGCCTTTTTCATTTGCGTTGCTTTATTTATTCCTCCAAATTTATTCATTTCAGCTTCCCATAAAATCCTGTTTGCTGAGCTATATTACACTGATGCTTAATTTCTCTGAAAATGTCAGATGGCACGCTCTAATGCCATGGATCCTTCAGTCAATCCCTTGAACCCACATTCAGATCTTTCTCTTCTTCCGTCTTTTGAGCATGTTTGCCATCACAGGCTGTGAATGTCACCTTCAGTTGAAAAGAAAACAAATTTTAATTCTCCTGACATTGTTGAGGGTTGAGCTATGAAAGAAATGTCACATTTGTTATTTTGACATTCTTTTTTATGCATCACATATATGTAGTCCTTAACAGAGAAATTAAGATAACAGAGGCTCTTTGGTGATTTTCCCTGGGTAAAAGCTCCTATTGGAAACAAAAGCTCCAGATTGATTTATTTATTATTTTGTGAAAATTCAACATTCAGATATCAAATTCAAATTTCTGCATCTCTTGATTAACTTACTCGTATGTTTATAACAGTTTAGAGATAAAGCAGTAACACGCTCCTACTAATCCTCCGTTAACTGACTGAGGCAGGATTTCTGACCCACTGCCCTGATTCACCAGTGTTTTCTCCTTAGCACCACAGAGACTTAAACTTATTTGGATTTATTGTACAGCTTAAGCAAATAAGCAAGTCACTTTATCCTCTTACTCAATTAAACATGCATTCTGGATCAACAAAAGCAAGAAAAAAAATCAGGCAGTATTTTTCTTTTTTCTAATAAAGGAAATGTTCTATTTGAACATCTGAAGAAAAACATTAAAAAGAAGGAAAACAACACAGAAAAATAAAGGCATTTGAGGCATTCTGGAACAGTGTGTTCTGGTACAGACATCAGCAAATGCAGAGCGGCACTACTGTTTGTCTGCTGCACCGGCGTGAAGAGAGCCAAGCAGACAAGTGGGCAGATATTGTAGACAAGAAGCCCCAACTAAACAGGAAAATGCACTGAGCACAACACCTGCACTCACACAGCCACAGAATTTATCCAACATCTGCAGAAAACACACACATTAGCCCTGTGAGTGATCTGTGTAAAAATCTGTCACCATTATACATCTTCATCTTGCTTTTGTTTTTTTCTACATTCAAAATTGAAAAGAAAAACAAAACAAGAAACCTCCCCCCAATAAAACAAAAACCCCTGTCCTCTCAGATCAGGTATAAACACATAAAGAAAATGAGTCGCCGGGAGGTTTCACTCTCAGTAGCGTCCTGTCATGTGGGATAGGGAGTAAGCTGCAAACTGTGCTGCTGGTTAAATCACATTCAGTGTAACCCGGCTGTGTGGACAGGCCCACAAGGCTTCTGCAGCCTTCCACAGCAATACCCTTGACTTCAAGGCAAGCATTAAAATGGAGGGGTGGTGGCGGGTTGGATTATGGGGTTCAGGGAGGCAATGTGCAGACTGTGTGTGTGTATAAGTGCCTTTGGGGCTGCAAATGCGGTTTAACCATTTTCTTCAGACTTTCCGTTTTCAGATTCAGACTTATAGGGTAGGCAAGTGTAAGCCTTGGCTTCAGCCTATTCCTTTATTGTTAAATTATTGGTTTGTAAAATAGTGTTTCATTTTGTTTTTGCTATATTATACATTCATCAAAAATAAATCTAGTCTGAGTCTTGTTGTTGCTACAAAGCATCACAAAGCTCATTGAGGTCTATCCACATGCATTCTGCATGTATTCATGTATAAAACAGCAGTTTACAAATTGATATGGCTGTTCCAGATATTTCTGGCACAAATGTTTCTGGTTCAGCTTTACAAAGTTGGATGAACCAAGCAGATGAGGATCACATTTCAGTGTTCACCTCTAGGAATTAGATGAAAGTTGGGACAGTTTGAGATTCATCAACTTGAGCCAGAGAGCAAAATCAGTCAGTTTTTCATCAACTGCAGCTAACTGAAGATCAGCAGGTTAAAATAAAAAATTATTAATATTATTATTATTATTTCTCTGTATTCATCAATGTTAGTAAAGTGTTTCCATATTTGTTCATTCTGCTGTGAATGAACGGATTCACAAAGAAATTTGTTCAGTCCACAAACAAAAAGCTCCTGATTTTTGTTTGTGCTTTGCTGGAGATCCTGGTAATATTACAAGATCCTGGTAATTTTACAAGCATTCCTTCTCTTATGCACCAGAATCTTATCACTGAATTCTCTCACCCACTTGCTATTGAGTCCTGCAGAGGTCTGGTAAGGAGCCATTCATCTGACTCAGGTGTGTTGGACAGGGACTGGGTCTAAAAGTTGCAGAATAGCTCCAGCACTAAACGTACACATAAAATATCAAATCAGCTGACTTTTGATAGGTGTCTGGAGGCATGACTAGAAAGGGCTATAAAAACCTACACAGGATATTTTCCCCCTGATGTCATGATTCAACATAAATTTCAGTTTCACCATAGAAATACTATAGATACCCCTTGCAAAACTTTATGGAGACGCCCTGAGGTAAAAAGAAAGAAAGAAAGAAAGTATGAAAGAAAGAAAGAAAGAATGGAAGAAGGAAAAGAAAACACACCCTAGATACTAGATCAATCAACGCCAGATCTGAATGATGAGTACACCTGCACAGAAACAGACACCGCCTTCTCCGTGAGCTGATAAAACCCCGTGCGTAAAAATCCTTGGTGCCTCGGTGCGTCAGGTGCCTTATTTCCTTAATGCAAATGCCCCGCTCAGCGCGTTCTCTCACACCTCCTCCTCCTGGTGTCCTGCCCTCAAGACGGACCGGTAGCCGCCTCTGCTCCTTTAAGGCAATGAGGAATTAAAGCGTCTACAGGGACAGGGGGAGAGTGTTATTCTGTGTATTGCTCAGAGACTCCGTGAGGCTGCGATTAGAGATCGACAGCGGGGAAGATGTGCTTGGTCGCTCCTTGCTGGACGCAAAGAGGCGGTGAAGATGGTGTGACTTTGGAGTCAGAAAAAAACTGCGTCTTTTTCATTGCTTTTTTTGCTTAATTGCTCTATTAGTTGGACTATTTTTAATTGTCTGAAACTATTTTTTTCCCTCAAGGATGAACCGAGAGTTTTTGTTTAAATTAGATAATCGAAGCTTTTGATGTTTTTTTTTCTTCCTTTTTCTTCTTATTTGTTTTGGAGATTTAGTTCGGGGCTGATTTGGAAAATTATTTCTGGCACCAGGACCCGGCTCTGACTCAGCATCACACACACCTGGGCTTTACCACTTCAGCATCCCCTTTTGAATAACAGGGAGAAGCAGCAAGACGCGGAGCACAAGAGGAGAGTCTGCGCGCAGCGCTCTCCCCAAGACAATCACAGAGCCTCATTCTGTCCAAGCGCAAAAAAAGAAAACACAAAAGACATAGGTCAGCGACGCGAAATAAAAGTAGGAAAGAAAAAAAAAATTTAAAAAGTATAGAGACCCGGACTGGTTCGCTTCAAGACACACGCAAATGTTTAACCTTACACTAGGCGCACTGAAGAGAAACCCAGGGAGGCACCGGTCGGAGGAAGACGAGAAAGCATAGCTTTAGGGGGATTGAACGGAGCAGGGCATGTGGATATTGGCTTTTATCTTCCTCCAGAGCATCTTGAATGGTAAGTTTTTAACCTGCCACTTGAATGTCTGTCACCTAATGCAGAAAACAGAAACAAAACAAAAAACAAATTAGTGCCAGACTGCTAAATGACTGAAGGAGGGAGTATGGAAGGTCACCTGTGACCCACATGGAATTGATTTTGTATGGTTGTCAAAAGGGTTGACACCCCTGATGGAGAGGGAGAGAGACAGGCAAGGCTTGAACTGATAAATCCCTCAAGCTCTTCTGCAAAAATACACATTTTATGGCCTTCAGAGGCACATTCTGAGCCAAACGAAACCACAATGTTGTTTGTGGGCTTTATGCCACAGATAAAACTGTAAATGCACTGATAAATTGGGTGATTTTTTAAAAAGGTTTTGATGAACTGAATTGCATCAAATTATTATTTTTTTTATAATGCAAAACAGTTCTCATCCTGTCAGCTTACTTCCACTGTGGCCCTTAGTAATAAGTGACGTCTTTAATATAATGGACACTTGGTTTAACCCTTTCCCCCTCCCCCACTGTGAACATATTTTTCAAGTTCATGTTGGCTTGAATGAATGAAAAGGTGTTCAAATGGCAAAATTAGATACCTGGAGCAGGCTTTTTTCTTTTCTTTCTTTTTTTTTTGCATAAAGATTATTTTTAAGTTATGCGTCGCTCGTAACCTATCCTTTCCTCAAAACATTTTCACATTAATTTGATCAGTTGTATTATTTCCAAAATGCAGTTTAAAGATCTTAGCTTAGAATAATTAAGACAGTTAATTTAGCAAGTACAAAAACATAATGTTAAAGGAGACCACACATAAATAAACGTTGGTATCAGATTTCCCTTTTCTCTTCAAATAATGAGTAATTTTTACAACTCATGGTCTTTTTGCATTTTTGTGTAGCACTGTACATTGCTGTTAGTAAGCACATAATTTTTGTGCACCCATCTAGTATATCCACAATCAATGGTGGAAAATTGATACAGTTTATTGCATTCACGTACTGGCCACAGTAGCTTCTACAGGGAGGGATTATGGCTGCCTGGGTGTGTACGAAAACAGGGGGAAAGCAAAGGGAGTGCTAGATGAAGGAGAAGGGAAAGAAAATGGAAACACATCCATAAGAAAAACACCGGGGCGACATCTTGGGGTTCGTTCCCGTACCGAAAGAGAACCAGCCAATGGTTGGTTGGCTTTGGATGAAAAAAAGAGCTAAAATGAAAAGATGAATTTACGAATCAAGAATTGCCAAAACTGAAAATTACAGGTCTGAATATGTTTTACCGCATGAAGGAGCTGTGATATGTGTGTCCCCCAAAATGGATTTTCCCCTCCAGCCGGAATGATAAAATACGGCTCCGAAATTGATTTTTGTTTCTGTGTCGACTGATTTTTTTATTTTTTTGTTTTCTTTTTCGGAGCTGAGGCAGCCCTTGGTTGGCGCTGTTTATTGACACCGACTCCATACAAAATGGTATCTCCCTCAGCCCAGCTTGTGGTGAAACTCATAAAGGAACAATAAGGAATCCTCATTAATCATAATCATCTGGCTCTGACATTAGATCAACCACCATGCAAGATTGTGTCCATTTATTGCGTAAGGGATTATTGAGGGGGCCTGTGGCAAATAACTGATAGGGATTAAGCCGCAGACAGCGCTCAGTGGCAGACGACGTACTTTTCCGGTGCTAATGTGTCCTAAGATGTTGTATAAAGCACATTTCCACCCATTGCTCTTACTTGAATTCTCCATCACTGTAGCAGAGCCTGGCTGTAAGACTTTGTCCTCTGCGGCTGGATGTTTTGTTGATTATCATGAGAAGGAGGTGTTCATCGGCAGAGCAGTCATTGTCAGAATGAATGAATGACCTTGCAGATTGAAGCCAGCACAGAGATTGAATTCCAGACAATTCTTGCTGTTTCCTAGTTGGGCCTGCTCTCACTGGCCTGTCTCTATGGTAACCTGTGTAATGGATGTTGGGAGCTTCGTCCAACATCCCCCCGCACCCTCCACCAAATTCTATACTTACAATGCAGTCTAGAAAGCATATATGTTGCTGTGCATTTGATGATGCTTCTTGCATGGAGCATTAAGAAGTTGTTCCTTGATGCTCCGTACTTTGATCTGGTTCTGCCATTTTGTTGTGGTACCCAACTTGTGAAGAGCTTTAATCAGATGCCTGCACAAAAAGCTGCTCTGCAAGTCCACGAATCGCAGCATATACTAAATATGTTGCCCAGGCAAATTGCAGCCAAGCATGTTATATCGCAAAATTTTTTATTCAGGTGATGTTCAAACAAGAGTTCAGAAATCTTGTCTACATGTATTTATATTGTGACAGGCAGTTGTGCTCGGTTAGAAGTTTATCTAAAAAGCTATACATAAAAAAAAAGTATTCACGAAAACCATAGAGATCCTAAACAATAGAGAAAAGTCAGGAAACACTTTTCTAATTAATTTTTTTGTGTGAAAAATGTGATACTTTGATGTTGAATTTGTTTATATTGGAGCTAAAATTGAGAAAATCATGGATTGTAATGAAAAATGATGAATATAAAGACTTACTTAGGTGTCACTGCTATATATTTGGCGGGTGGAAACAGAACTTTTTATAATTTAAAGTTTGAGTTGTACAGGCTGTGCTTTGACAAAAAGATGTCTAGATATTACTTGAGAAGATGTTGAGTTCATTTTACAAAGACAAACCATGATGTGTTCGGTGTGAACCATCATCTCCAACCAAAATGATTACAGTCCTATCAGCCACTGAGGTTGTCTGTGTGAATTGCTCTCGTTAGGTAGAAATGATACATCTCTGACAGGAGGTCGCTTAGGCATCCAGAAAATGAAGTTAAAGTTTTATGTATTAAAAATATCTGGCAATTATACAGGAAGAACAAAAAAACCCCAAAATATACACACACAAAAAAACAATGACAGAAACACATAAAAAGTTCTGGACTTAGTTGTACCTCAAAACTTTTGCAGACATGTAACTGATTTGGTCAAAAGCATGTGATTGCAACTGATCGGTTCGGACTTTAATCCAGCTGTTTCCTGTGCTCCTCACTACCACTAACATGTGTCTAAAAAACATTAAACATCTCATAAACTTTCACTTTTAAACCAACACAATTTGATCTCAAGCCTAGATCTGTACACACGTTATAATGAGGCTAAAATGCAGGCATATTGTTTTTAACAAGCAATTTACTCAACCAAACAGTCAATAAACCGCAACAAGAAAATGAAACCGGGACATTTCATATATATTTACTGTCTTTAACCAACAAAAATTGAACCCTGGCATTCATCTATGTAGATATGTCCTGTCAGCACAGCATCACCTCTGTGTTGTGAGGGCAATTCGGTGAGTTAATGTTGAAAGTTCCTACTGTACGAGAGTTGGTGTTTGGGTATTGTTAATAATGTTTTCCAATAGCACAAAATTACCTGATCATATTCTCAAATTTTATGTCAACTTTAAAATAATTTTTTTAAACTCAAAAACACAGAAGGTCCTGGATGACTAACCTACCACCTTTATTACATTTTCTGGAGTAAATCCTGTGTTGAAATCAGGTTTATTGCTTAATGATTAGACACAGTTGTAATACAGATATTACGTATTCCTCGCATACTAAAAATTCCAGTAGCTCTCTGTGTAATACTGCAGTTGAATTTAATACTGACCAATTACAGAAATTACAGCTGTTACCCACTTCAATCTGTTGTTTAAAGTCACATAGAGCCATTTTACAGCACAATCAAGTAACTATATTATCTTTAGATGTTATAAGAATGCTGTATATATCAAACATGACATGAAAATTTGACTTTGTAATTTGACACCTTGAAATTGGGTTTCTTTCTCCGAAACTCCGCCTTCAGCACGTCATCACAACAATGCTTCTCCAGATGCTGTTTACATCCTGTTCTTACGATCGTTGGACTAAGAAGTGGTTTGTATGATGAGCTCAGCAGGCACACATTTCTACCTGGTCAGCAGGCACACATTTCTACCTGGTGTTTGCTAACTGCTGCTGGCACTAGTCTAGAGGGGCTTTGCTCTGTTAGGTGGAACCTTGTCTGGATACTGCGGAGCAAGTGCTTAGGCATTTCCAAATGGCTACCATGGGAGCTTTGAGGATTTCCCAAACATACATTAGAGAATCAGAACAACATTCCAGGTATTTTTTTGGTGAGGGAATAACATCATATAAAGCCCAAAAAAGTCAGTTTTCTATAATACCCCTTATTTGAAGTCTGGAATGTAGTGTTTTAAACATAGTTGCTGTAACTCTGTCATGTCAATGTCACAACTGGTTCAGACCAAAACGAATGCTTTATTGTGTTCTTGCAATAACATATTTTGTAGCCTGATAAGATTACTTAAATTTTTTTTAATGACATCATTTTGTGAATTACCTAAACCAGATCAATAAGCAATCATCAAAATTTGTCTAAAAATAAAATACATTTACAATGTTGACAAATGGGCAACACTATGAGACTATTGTATTAGAATGTAAATTGTCCTAAATGTACATGATTTAGTTGCTTGTAATAAAGCTAATAACTATTATTTTTAGTAATTCTCTATTGGATAATTAGTTGGGTTATCTGCTGTTATATCCAGACTACAACTGTCTACTTTAAAGATGAACCACACAAAGCTTGCCATCAATGGTTTTAAAACAATATAATTTAATAAGAGTGATGAGTGGAGCTTCTTCAGTTTCCACATTAATGAGCGTCAAGAGATTTCAGTGACTGGAACCAAACAGACAACTCTGTCTTAATTGTAAACACAGAAAAGATGAAGAACTTAGCTGACCTGCAACCTGCAGCATCAAGTGGAGCTGGGCCAGTGGTGCCCCAATCTATGCTCAGCACTGCCGGGGAAAACTCTTTTCACTCTGACACCATCTCTGGTGTCTCGTTAAGAAAGGATATTTAACTGAGAAAGTGCGATTTTGAAACAGTAAATTTTCCAAACCTTGGTGTTGGAACTTGACCA